ACAAAACATTCAACAAACTGCTGGGACAACACGAGGTTGGAGATGCCTCAGATGTGTATGCTTTGTCACAGAAGATCGCTCTGCTTGGCTTTCTTACAGAAAACAGGGGTATGACAGTTCAACATTACAGATCTCACTCGATGTCCCTTTCCAGTTTCTGTTCCTTCCACCATTTTAGGATTGATAATCAGTAAGAAAGGCTTTACCACCTAGCCTGGTAACTAGTGAAGAGATTTTGGAAAATTAGAGCATCTTTGGGCTCAGCCACTCCCTTCTGCTTTCAGTGCAGTGGAAGCACACAAGCCCTTATTCATCAACCGGTTTTGAGCACGTTCTTATTTAAGAGCTTGTCTTCTTTCTCTGGCACCACTGACAGCCCTAATGCTGGAAGTGCAGAAACAGCTACAGAAATGAAGTACGAGGATTGAAGCAAGAGAAAGGGGATGGAGAACAACTAAAAGCTCTGCAAGCAATCCAGAGAAACACTGTAAAGTTTCTTTTGTCTTCTCCTTCCCTTTATCTGTTCTCATCTTTTTTAAGACTGAGAAACAACAGGGCATCCTGGCCTTGGCTTGCCTGTGAACGAGGATGATTAATTCTCTTATTCTGTGTCTGCTGTGAAGATGGCAGAAGAAGCCTGGGAATGAGAAATGTGCACGGACACAACAATGCAAGGAAGTTTCTGAGATCCAGAAGTACAGATTTTGAATGACCGGATTGTAAATGCTAACCTAAAAAGCAGAAAGTTATGTACATAGTGACCATCCTAAACACTCCTCCCTGCCCTTGCCTCCAATGACCACATAGTCACTGTCCTCAAAAACTTGCCCCACTTTCCCATGGCAGATTAACAAAAAGCAGTAGTGCAGAGAAAGCAACTAGCACTGAGCTTGTTTGCACATTTAAGTCTGTTCCCTGGTTTTTAGCAAAGATGAGCGTTTCTGAGGTCCTAGGAGCTGCAGCTACACAGCAGCTCTGAAAATCAGGCTACCTAAAGATGTATTTAAGTGCCTGAATTTAAAAAACTTTATTCAAATCCTTCCTATACCAAAGCATCCTTGGAATACTTGCAAGACAGATGTGGTTGCAGGTGGAGAATCAACTTAAACTTCCTATGTGATATTGCCCGCATAAAAGACAGTGTGGTGTGATGAAAGTAATTACATTACTGCTTTGCTTGGCTCTGTCTTAGTTAAGGTGCTAAGTTTCCTATTTATTACAAAAAAAGAAAAATCAGTAGCATGGAGTTATAATTGAGAAAGTCCTCTGGCACAGAAAAATACTTTTTTAAACCATGTGATTGATTAGATATTGAATACCCATTAATGTAATTTTAAAAGGCTATTAGCTTAAAACATTGTCTGAAAAAAAGGATGCAGCTCAGAATGAATATTGGTATTTTAAAAGTGATGTGAAAAACCACTTTGAGTGAATGCCACTGGTCAGGACAGTACCGTATTGCCACCTCTGATTTTGAATTCAGGTGTCAATTCAATTACACGTTTTCCCTTAGAAGGTGTTAAATCAGGATCTATCTAATCAATCATTTAAACAACCTCAGTATCATATCTTTTCATGCTGTACATGCTTCTTATGTATTGAGCAGAGTGCTTGGAAAAAGAAACAAATTTGCTTTATGGGAATCGGAGAGGACCAAATGCTGGAGTATTTCCCCTTCACCAAAGTAAAGGGCAAAGCTCCCCCGGGATTTCTGGAGGCCGAGACACAGCCCGTTTCCTCCACGGCTGGTAACCCCTCCTCAGGCAGCCCCAGCCAGGAGAGATGCAGGATTTATTCAAGATGCAGACTCTCACAAGAACAGGGGCAGGGCAGCAAGACCACCTGGGGTTCGGTTGCCAAAGATAGCCCTGGGCTACCGGCAGTGTTGCGTTTGCAGAGGTCTACAAGATCCTGCCAACAGCTGAGTTCTAGGAACTGTCCGGATGTGAGCAGAGCCGCTGGCTCCTGTACTTACAAGGCCCTACCCCAAGAAAGCTGACTCAGCAGGTGCTGCAATCTGCTTTCAGAGCTCAGGATGAACAAGTTGTGAGGTCTGAATCTGTCGGAGGCCGGAGGCCTTGCAGGCAGGGGGTTTTGTGAGAATCAATTGTAAATAGAGGACAGCCAATACATTGCACTGCAATTCATGCATTTTATTGCCTTTGTTCATTTCCTGTGGACAGTATTTACGATGTAGTAAAACGCAAAGGTGAGCCAATACTGATTTGTGGTCATCCTTTGAAGGGTACGTGGGGAAAATGAGATCTGCCAAACACTCAGTATATTGTTTTGGCTAAGGAAAATACACCTACCTACCTTGGAGATGGAGCTTCTGGTGTTTATTAAAGGAAGGCGACATGCGATAGTAGAGAGAGTGGATTTTGTATCTCAGGAGATCTCTTCCAGGCCTATGCAAGACTAAATTCATTTAAATTGAATCTGCTGACATTGACATAATATTGTACACCTCCTTCATGTTCTGCAATACTTAAAACCAATTTTATCGGTCTAAATATATAAGTACCCAGGCTAGTTCCTGTTATCCCTCAGAAAAACATATTTTCACGCTTGATATCAATTCTCAGCACAGTTCACAAGGCTGCAACTGCTTAACAGTGCTCTGCACCTGGAGACCCAATGAAGCACCCGCTACAGCTTCAACTGCTACATTCGGTCCCTCCCTTCATCACCGAACTCCGTTGCTTATTTGTACAATTTACAACAAGAACAGATTGCAGGGGCTTGTGTGAAAAGGATCTTCCAATAAAAGATTTAAAAGATTTAGACAGAGGTAAACAGCATGCCAATATACATTAGCAAGTTACCACTGAAACTGCCAAAAATGTAAGGAGAAGATTAACATTTCCCTCCGAGGATTTAATGTGGATGAAAGTAGAGACAATCCAGAAGGGGAAATCTGCCTGCCCCGTCTACTCCCCGAGTAAAGCACCGAGCCTACTTAATACGAAATTGCAAATAAGTTCTGTTAAATACAGAGATGAAGATTATTTGATGTTATTTTAGTAACAGTCAATTTAGGATGGTGGTGCTTAAAAAGTGAAAGGCCTTCAAAGACATTTTTCACCCTACTGAATAAACAATTTAAAGAACTTTGCATTTAGCAACAGATAACATTCTACAGATATGGTATGTGAATTTACAACAGTACACAATACACATTTATATAATAAAATGCCAGAAATGAAGGCTAGCTATTAAAGTAATTATGCTATCAAAAAATTACAAAATTTAAATTAAAACATGCATTTTCCAATTTTATTTTTTTTTTTTTACTGTGCTGTAAAATAAGTGTCTTCATTGGGAAGGTATCAGTTCAACATCCAAGGATTTTGGCATCCAAGATTTCAACCATATCTGATTAAAGTCCTATGTTAATTTACGAGTTCATTCACATGCATCAATACTGTTCCCATGAAATGAACATCATGTAATGGTCACGAGTCGCACATTTAATGCAAGCTAGCAAAACAAAATGCTTACAGCTGATACCCAAAGAGACTAGAAAGTCAGGCCCCAAATGACAGAAAGGAAATACTATTTTACAATTTGAACTCCAGCATACCAAAGTACAGCTTATAATACTGTCTTGATACGACTCAAACTCTAACCACCAAAAAGACCGCAGTAAAAGTGACCCAATACAGTTGTATTTCCCTACCAGCTATATGAGAAACATTTCAATTTTTTTTCCACTGCACATCAGTCAGGTAAATAACTTATTGTACATCTATGAACTTGAAAAATAAAAACTGCCTATGTTAGTATGTGGCAACACAAAAGCAAAAAACCCAGCTTCATAACGTAGTTTGTCTATATATTTAACTTAAATCTTTCTATAAAACAAAATGACTATAACAAAAAAAAGAAAATCAAATCTAACACTTCTAATCGAACCAGACTTTAGCCATGATTATTTATAAATATGACCATCCACCTTCACTTTTCTGATGGAGTTTAAATGAACAGGCTTTGGTAAGAACAGAAAAATGGCTCTACCCATTCCAGGTACAGTTAGAGAAACCACATGCATTTTGCACACTGCTTTCTAAAAAATACATTCTACAGCTTTTCAATTTGTAGAACTAACCACCTGTAATAGCTAAGGAAAATAATAAACTGTGCATTTTAAAGTTAGCATTTCTTTCACCTTTACATATTTTAGTGCAAAATATTTTAGGGTGAGGATTTACTACAAAATGGCAGTAGCAGCAAGAAATCTTCTGTTTTGTACAGTAACAACAATGCTAAGGAGTTTTGTTTTTTTTAAATGACAAAACACTATCCTGTTGCCAGGATTAGCATATCTAAGTGTTTCAGGCACTGTATTAATTAAACTAGCACCCCATTTCATTATGGAACTAATGGACAAAATATGTCATGGAGATCAGCTCAGTTTAATTTATGCCAGAGGTTTCTTTTAAAAGAAGTTGCAAAGGCTTTTGCTTTTACCAATCATGTTTAAACATAAGGGTTTATTTTTCTGATTATTGGCATGTTCTGAGTAATTAGTCAGACCTTGCTATGAAGACACTGCTCAGCATTATAAAATTTTTAACCTCTCATGGCAGTTTCAATTGTGGAATTCTCTTGTGGAGAAATCAGACAGTTAAAAAACACAGTAGCAGAACTAGTATTACACCTTTTAAATGTTCACATGAGAAACCATTTCTTTGTGATCACAAAGAGTATAATTAGTACTTTAGGCTTAAAGTCAAAATAATAGATAATATACTTTTTGAGACCGAGGTAAAAAACCCACTTGTTCTCGAAACATCTGAAGGACATAACATTACCATGATACACCAACACCTTTTTCCTCTTCTTCCATTCAGAGAAGTAACGAAACTGATAGCGACATTGATTGTCTCCACTGAAAACAAAAAGCGCTAGGTCCTTTGATGTACATCGCAGATTAAGTCAGGTTAGATGATGAGGATGAGAATTCCAAATATGAAAAAACCCTACAGCAGTTCCCAGAGTTACGACCCAGTGGAGTGAAGGCTGGGGATTGGATAGAATTTGGAAATCCGGCTTTGTGTTGAAGGGTTAAGGCATTCGGATTCTCCAGTCATTTTAAAGAAAACTTCCTGTTCCTGCAGTTTTCTTGCAAATTCTTCTTCCAGTGTCTAAAACCAAAATCAGATTGTCATAGGATCACACAGTAAAGTACAAGAAACCTATTATGCCAGTGACATATAGTCTGACAGAACATTGTAATTTCACATCCCATCACAAAAAAATTATTCATCTAGCACTTAGGAAATTGCAAGACAATCAAGACACCGCCAGCTAAGAACATCTGTCTGTAGGATACTCTGAACTGTGTGAAAATCTAGTACTTTCCATTTTAAAATAAAATACAAAAACCAAAACCAACATCCACCACTCTCTGTTATTTAGCACTCAATTTTTGTAGTACCTACTGGCTTCTGAAATAGATTCCTAAAACCAGATTTACCTCCAAGTAAGAAGTTTTATATGCAAATAAGCCCACACGCGCTGCAAGAGGGAACACAGTAAGGGGCTGATAACAGGCAAGCCTTTTTCGTTGCACATGGCCTTTGCTCAGCTTCTACACTTTCTTTTTTTAACAGCTTTTATTATTCAGTGAACTACAGCAGTTTTGTGCAGCAGCTTGATTCTCCTCCTCTGCGATACTTTTTGTACGGTCTGTATTTGCTAGACCCAACTCTTGATTATTTTCTGATTTATAAACTGCTCTGATTTACCTTTTTTCTTGGTCTCAATTTCTCTCTCCATTCCTTCAGTTCTTGGCTGTGCTCTTCATCTAGCTCTTTTAGCTTCTGAGTCTCATGCTCAACCAGTAGATGGCATTTTTCATTCTTAAAACAAGATAAAGATAATCCTTATGTAAAACTAATTCAGATTAGGCAACTCAACATTTGTACAGTGACATACGCTGTCCTAATTCTTTTTAATTAGCTTATTCCGTGTAAATAGTGACGTGAATAACTACAAGATAAAAGTATGTTACGAGGCTGCATTATCAAAAGCTGATCTTTCCATCAGAACCAATTGAGATAAGAAATACTTGTAAATCCAAATATACTGTTGAGTATCATTAAGGCAGCAGCTGACAGTGTTACTCAAAACTGTGTTTCACTGCCTAATAATGCATTTCAAGGTCATACAGCATTTCTGCTTTGCTTTCTAAAGACAGTTTGTATAATTTATTAAAATCAATTACATTAAAAAGGAGGTAGTTTTTTGGAAATATTTCAACTCTTAGTGCCAAGGAGCTGAGACTAACAAATAGGGCTTAAAGAGGAGAGAAGTGTGCTTGCAGAAGCAACCTCAGAATTGCCTTATAAAAAGGAAAAGGATAAATCAAACCACACATCAGCTTCACATTCTTCTCAGTAAGGTACACAGGTATCTGTCTAACTTTCAGGGGACTTTTGAAGCATGGTAAGAAAAAAAAGTAACTATTGGGCTATATCAAATCTTTGATTTTTAAGAGCAGCTGGCAATGGCGGTTTCTAAACCACATGTTCTTGTTTCTAGGGTTCCAGTCCCAACTGGGTCTGATGCAGAGTACAAAACCACAGGAACAAAAATTACAAGCTCTTGGCCAGACCTGAAGGCAGCTGGGGGCCAATTTTTCTTGGTGAAGCTCAGAGTAGCCCTAATCTGCTCAATTTTACTTGAGCTGAAACTCTCACAAGACTCCCACGGTACTCGGGGATTTACTGAGATGTAATAGTGGCATAGTCAGGGACTGTTTTCGCAGGATGTAAGAAAGTGAATCGAGAAGAACTAGCTTCATTGGTCGCTGGAAGATTTCTCTATGCAAAGGTTATCAGCAGGTGATCATTTAATGCCTTAAAACTGCCTTGTGTCCCTGAAACAGGGAAAAGCCGATTTAACAGAAAAAGAGATCTGGCCTCTCGTACACACCAGCAACTTTTACAAAATGCATACCAAAAGAGACAAAATAGAGTTCCTTATTGCAAGGAGAGAATTCCTACTAAGTACCTTCCAGAAGCTCAGGTACAAACAGCAGCCTGCACTTTGTACAAACCACCTCATTCCATGTATTGCTACAAACGCCTTGTGGGTAATGCCTGGTGCTGCCTACCTCTGTTCTGATTAATGACATTTCAGCAAAATCAGGTTAAAAGGAAACGCTGCCTACAGAAAATAGCACTGGGAACTTGGTAGATATTCTAGAAGTGATCATCTGCTTCTGGTTCATGCTCTTCTTGCATTTAAAATGATCTCTCATTGATTGAGGTAAGTATGTGAATCTGGTTAAGTAGTATGCTGCAGGCCTTTGAAAGCAAAGTTGAAAAAAAACCCCTACACCGATCAATAAAAATGAAGGAAAAGATTTTTCTGCTTTGCCTGCATCTGTTATTAACCTGAGTCTTCCCACTGAATGTTCATTTAATATCATATATTTTTAACCTGTAACTGATGCAGTTCTCTGATGTTTGCTTCACATTGCAGCTGAAGGTCCCGCATTTGGTTTTCATGTTTCTGATGCTGAGCCAGTCTCTCATTCTTCTGTCGCTTTTCCTCTTGAACAGCAAACTAAAATTAAAAATAAAAAATTGGTTTATATTGTGCCTCTAGATACAACAGTTTGCATCAGTCAAAAAACTGTATGTAACAGAACGAATGCATACAGCAGAACTGAAAAGAATGGTTTTAAAAGATTTAAACAATAACTATATTTTCTTTCTTCTTTCTCTTTTAAAATTTTTACAAAGGGAATGCCCTCACAGTTTTGTCTATCATTCCATTTCTCTGTCTGCACTCTAATTATTCCTTAAAATACAGCATGTTTCACTTCCAGACTCCTGAAATTACCTCCCTCTGAAGCTAAGTGACTCAGCTACAAGTGTTGGGTTAAGGTTGGGGTTATACAGCCACGGAAGACTGAATTTTCCACATTTTTCATCCTTCCAGCTCTCACTATATGAAACCATGATTTCAGACTTTTGTTCATCAGTAGAAAGCTAACCTCTAAACCTCTTCACAATGTTCTCTTTTAAAGAATGAGTGAATACCTACAGCTTTAGTTCAAAAGCTCACAAAAATCAAGTGTTCTTAAAAATATTTCACAGCATCACAGAATGGTTGAGGTTGGAAGAGACCTGTGAAGATCAACCCCCCTGCCCAAAGCAGAGTCAACTAGAGCAGGCTGTGCAGGACTGTGTCCAATTGTGTTCTGAGTATCTCCACAACCTCTCTGGGCAACCTGTTCCACTGTCTGACCATCCTCACACTAAAGAAGTGTTTTCTTATTTTTAAGTTGGATTTTCTGTATTTCAGTTGTGCCCACTGCCTCTCATCCTGTCACCGGGCACCACTGAGAGAAGTCTGGCTCCACCTTCTTTACTCCCTCCCACTGGGTACTTATACACATGGATAAGATCCTCCTGAGCCTTCTTTCCTCCAGGCTGAGTCCAGATGAGTCTCACCAGTGCAGAGGGGAAGGATGACTTCCTCTGACCTCATCCAGTGCATCAACCCTGTTTTGTACTGCCTGTGAACTTGCCGAGAGTGCACTCTACCCCATAAAATCACAGAATGATTTGGATTGGAAGGGATCTTTAATGGTCATCCAGTCCAACCTCCCTGCAATGAGCAGGGACATCTTCAACTCAATCAGGTTGCTCAGAGCCCCATCCAACCTGACCTTGAATGTTTCCAGGGATGGGGCATCTACCACCTCTCTGGACAACCTGTTCCAGTGTTTCACCACCCTCATTGTGAAAAATTGCTGTCTTATATCTAGTTTCAATCTACCTTCCTTTAGTTTAAAACCATTACCCCCTGTCCCACTGCAACAGGCCTTGCTAAAAAGGCTGTCCCCTTCTTTCTTATAAGCCCCCTTTAGGCACTGGAAGGCTGCTCTAAGGTCTCCCTGGAGCCATCTCTTCTCCAGGATGAACAACCCCAACTCTCTCAGCCTGTCTTCACAGGAGAGGTGCTCCAGCCCTCTGATCACCTTCGTGGTCTACTCTGGACTCGCTCCAACAAGTCCATGTCCTTCTTGTGCCGCGGGCTCCAGAGCTGGACGCAGTACTGCAGAGGGGGTCTCACTAGAGCAGAGTAGAAGGGGAGAACCATCTCCCTCAACCTCCTCACATTTATATCACATCAAGCATTTACACTATTAAAACTGTTTTTATTAATTACCTGCTTAATTTTTTCACGATCTTGGTCTGGAGAGGCTAATGAATTGATTCTTAAACTTTTCTTAAACATAGCCATTCGAGTCTTTGCTTCACTTCGCTGGATTTTAGGCAGTCTTGCTCTTTCTTGAGTTTGCTTATTCTTTAACTCCTCGATAAGGCGTTGATTATATCTCTGCATTTGTTCTGTTTCCTAAAATGTTAACCATATTGAAATGTTACAGAGTAACCGTTATGTTAGAATATTTGCATCTCGTTTCATCAATAAGCATGTTATCAGAGTCAGTTTCTTTCAATAGAAACCAGTCCCAGCCCTAATGATATCAATGGGCAGGAGGGGGTCTTCTGCTTATTCCAGAGACCTCTGGATCATGCCCAACCCAGATAAAATTCTCTAATGCTCTAATGAATATGAATACAGATGTATTTTACAAGTGGTTGTTCAACTCCTGAACTGCATTTAGAAAAAGTCTACGTTTTTCAAAATGAGAAACTTTTGCGGAACTGAACTTCCACTACGGCAGTTGCGAAGGCTCAGTTTGTTGCAAAAGTTGATGAAAGTAACAGCCATTATGGGGATAGCCCAAACCATAGCACAGAAACAAGCCTTCAGTGGGGGGCTGCTCATGATCCAGTCACCAAGGAGATCCTCTATTGTCTCTCTATTGGGTTTACGTTTTCAAAAATTGAACTATTCTGTTTAGTGTATTCTATAATAAACAAAATGCCTTATGGAAAGTAAGTGTTGGCTTCTGGGCTTTTATAGGATTTAGCTATAAAGAGACAGTTGTCAGCTACTTGCCCAAAAGCTAATCCAGTTCATTCTGCTCATTTAATTCCAGGATGACTCACTAATGAGTAGATTTATTAAACACAAGCCAAAACTGGTTTTGGTGTATAAGCAGACTTTGGTGTTTTTAACAGGAAAAGGTTGATGTTGTGGCTGTTTTTTGTTTGGGGATTTTTTTTTTGTTGTTTGTTGTTTCTTTTTTAAGAATCAAAAGGAAAAAAAATGACCGTTTTACTTAAACATACTACTAAGTTATTGAAGTAAGACGATTAAGATTCTTTTTTATTTCAACAGAACACATATAAGCTACAAAACAGCTGTGTGGGTCTTGCCTGTCCAAGCAAACAGTTACCAGTAGAGATCATAAGACTACTTGATAAAAACCCCAGATATTATATTACACAAAAGAAAGTGTCAAAGTCAACACTAACTTTTTCGTGCCTCTTAAGCAGCTGGTGTCTCTGCATGAAGTACTGATCTTTGAGTTGCTGTTTGAGGAGCTGGTGTTTCTCTTGTAGATGTCGCTCTTCCAGCTCCCAGATTGCAGCTTCGCGAGCTGGAAGAAAGAGGAAGGCTGGTTCAGAAAGTACAATACTTTCTGCTCTACCTGCTAGTGTATATTTAGAAGTGGCCTACAAGTGCATTCTAAGAACAACACTATTCCATAGCAAATGTTTTTATTACAGTTGTAGGTTAGTCATGAAGGTCTTTGATTTCATAAATTTAAGACAGACTTGTTTTATTAAAATACAACATAAACATCTGTTTTTAAAGAGAGAATTTGATGCTGGATACCTCTCATGAGCTGCTGTTTGTTGTTGAGGCAATCTCGTTCAATAGTGGCTAGTTCTGTCTTCTGCTGCTGAATAATTTTCTTCAGAGATGCGTCCAGCTCTTGTTGCTGCTTCTGCACAAATTCCTGCTCCTGGTAAAAACCAATAGAAGTAAATGAAATTGTGTTCTTCTAACCACATTACATTTTAATGAAACTCCCAGCATTAGCTATATATGAAAACAAATACATCTATGAAAATTTGAGCTAACATGCCTCGGCTATAAAATTATGCATCTCTTGTATTTTCTACATAGAGAGCAGGTAAGAGTATATTTAATGTTTAAATAATACCTTCAGAAATAAGACCAAAGGCAACAAACTAGCCAGCAATCTGCAATTCATTCCATCTCTTGTCTCTCCTCAAAATAAGCTGCAGGTTCAAAGCTAGCAAAGACAAGTACTCAATATATAGTTGATCTTATATCAACAGTTAATTGTTCATGAATGTAAGAAAACAAAAGTATGTATGATTACTTTGCTTTGCATGATTTGTTAAAGTCTGTTTATTTACACAGTTGCATTTCAGATTTGCGTCTCAATCTCGAGTGGTTTATCTTGTCATGAACACAAAGATACTGAGGTCAGGAGTTCTGCAAGACTGCTATGAAGATGCCCAATAGCTTTTGCAGGAACTGCCTTCGGCAGGACTTGTAAGCTGTCACACCAGAGCTGAGCTGGCTCCTCACAAAGCAATTTGCCATCTGCCTGATGCAGTCCCCATATCACCTGCATCTTTATTTCATTATATCCAGGGTGCATCACTCTGTTGCATCACATCATGAAAAGCAGGCAGTAGTAAGAATCCCCCTCCCATGCCCCAAGACCATACTGTTGCCTTTCTTCTTTGCAACTATCGAAAAAAAAAAAGCGCATTTACAAGCATGCAAGCATGCACACACACACTCAAGAAATCAAAGCAGATGTTTCCACCATGATATAAAGGTCGAAAGAAAGGATGATGGCAGTGTCCTATCAGCCAAGGTGGGCAGCTGAAGCATTTGCTGTTATACATAATAAAGCAACGTTAAAGACGGTCTACTGGAAGCAGGATGGGATGAGGCAGGAAAACAGCACTGGGCTACAGATTATCAGTGGAAGGGTCTCCTGAGCTATGTATTTTTATTTTTTTACTGAACCTATGCTACTTGCTAAAACAGTTGTCAGCAAACCTAGGGAATTAAATGTTCATTAAAAGTACTTTTTAGTATGACCAGGAGAATCCTGGTTTTCATCTTCACAGAAAGTTATTAATAGATGAGGCTTTCATCTCTCCCAGCAGACAGCAGTTTTACACTTCAGTAACAGAAAACCAGAGGTGGAGTAAGTTGACAGTGACAGACCTGAGGGTATAAAAAGGACTGGAAGGCCATGTCTATAAATTAAGTCAGACATACCTAATCAAATATATGAACTGATGAAAAATACTGTTCTGTTTCTCTTTCTAGATGAAAAGGATAAGAAAACTACAAGTTTATTATTCTGAGGGTGCAGACACATAATTAACATGGTGTTTAATTTGCTAGGAATTTTTCGATTTGGATAGAGTAGGGGGAAAGCTGTTCTAGTGTAGTCACAGTTAAAAAGCAATTATGCTTGAGCTTTACTCAATCATTTAAATATCACTGTTGCTCTCTCTACATGGTAAATATTAAGAAGTTTATAATTGCTAGCACTATAAGATAAACCAGGAAATCTCAGAAAACACTCTGGCCTTTCCACGTCCCACCCTTATTCAAGTATCAAATATAATAAAATTCACAGACTTTACTAAAGAACATGTTGGATGGTTAAAAGACAGACAGGTCAAGGCAGTCTACCTTTTTAAAATTATCACTTGGTTTTGCCCAATAAGTATCTTAAAATAAACTAAGATATCTTTAAAATACACAGTTTCACTGCACACACAGCATAAAAGTCACACATTGTTTCTCACATGTGCTGAACAAGTAACAAACACCAGAGAACAGTATTACATTGCATTTGTGTGGAACTTCAGCATCTTGCCCAGAGTTAATAACTACTGTAATTTTGATCTTTTTACTATGAATAGTACATAATTACATAAATTTGTGCTAACTAGTTTGGAGACAGCAGTGACACTGATCAGCACATATGAGCAGAAGGAGAAGAGAAAACAGACATCTGGAAAATTAGAGAAATAAAACTTTTGTTGTTTTGCATTTTAAGACTTACATCCTGCATTTGTGCGTTGAAAAGTGTACATGAAGACAACTGAAAAGACTGAATCATAACCTGAGCAACGCCCTGTGGGACACAATGTACTTCCTATGTCATAATATAATGAAATATATTTCTGTTCTTAAAAAAAAAAGAAGAAACGAGATCTTCTGTATGTTAGTAATATACATTTAAAATGTCAAGGCTAATCACACAAAAGCAGTTGCTGACAGAAGTTCTAGATACTCTAAAACTAAATATCTGTACTTTGTGTAGTATTTATTCCAAGTAAGAATATTTCATCTTTAAAATTGTCTCTTTCTTACTTCAACAAATTGAAACCAGGAAAGGAAACAAACTAAGTCACTAGAAAACACAAAAATTTAGGTTTTTAATTGTTTCCTTAAAAAGTTCAGACACACATATCCTTGGTATGGAGAGAGCACTGCAACTCAATCACATTGTATCCTGGGAAATCCCCTCTTGAATTAAACATGTAATCGAATAAAGTTGCTATTATTTTCTACTAGGTCACTCACATAAACATTTAATCTTTAAGTTACTCAATCCAAACCTGCTCTGTTGTGGTGCAAACTCATTCTGTACAAGCTGTGGCCACCACAAAGCCAATATTTTTCTAAAATAATACGCCCCCCTTTCGAGCTGGGTCATACAAAAGCAGCAAGTCTGAAGGCAAGAAATTATAGATGACGTCTTGTAAAGTTTCCATACACCTACATTTTGACATTTAAATGACTTCATTTTACCTAATATGTTCTGCTTCTATGAACAAGATGCTTCATGCTTACATATTATATACATTTTCCTGCCCTGCACTTATATTGCTCAAATCTTACTTCTGACTGTAACCTTTATAATTTGATGGACCTGTGGGGTACTTACCACTCATAAAAGCAGTGTAAACTTGGCGTAGAAAAATACCGTTCTTTTTTGGTACAGCACACACAGTATTACGCTTAACAGCACAAACCTGGAAATCGCTGCTCCTACATTTCTACACAGTATACTCTATGGGATGTGATATGGGAGTACTTGAAGAAAGAGAGCAGTACGTAGGGTTAGCTTGAGTTAAGTTCCATATTCACTCAACAACAAGAAGAAGTGAAATCATCAAGCTGTGTGAATACTGCTGCCTTTTGTATTTCAGTAGCTTGAAGCTGCCGTTGTTACCTGAGCATGCTGGCTTTGTGCAAGCTCCTCTTTCTTGCGTTTCATGAGCTCTTTTCTCAGCTCTTTTGGTGCTTTCTCCACTTCACATAAAACCTACAGTGTATATAAGCATGCAGAAGGTGGCGAAAAGAACACTTTTTCTCCACAGCAAGCATTACTGTGAACATAGGACATGCAGGTCAAGCACTAGAGGTACTGGGAAGCGTGCATTACTTCAATGGCAGGGATGTTAGTTTAGTGAAAAGAGCTTAATGAAAAGAGAAGGAACAATACATGCTTTATGTATGCCAGCGCAGTGCAGAAAGGAGGTACAGGCCAGCCTCTTTTTGCATGCAAATGCTGCCCAGTGCTCTCAGAAATGGCAATCTCTTGCTTACGTTTTCATGCAGCAGATAGAATAGTCAAGAAAACCACCACCTGCAAAAATGGTATTTTCTTGAAGCACTATGGCAAAAGGACTACAGAGTAGGTTTGCCTCATGGTAAAGCTGTGAAAACTGGTTGGAAGTTTAAAATAACTTCCACTGAAAACCAGCTATTTCTGACACTGTCTCAAAAATGAATTTATAAGATGCCATTACTAATGTCTGCAACCATAAATTACATCTACACAGGTTTTGTCTTTAAAATAATCATACAAGCAAATAAAATATTAATTGCTTGTAAGTGTTTGGTTCTGAAGAATGTAAAAGCAAAACCCAACAACAACTAAGTATGTTTTCCAGAAACTTTTCACGACAAGTATGCTGGAATGGAACGTGTTTCAGTCCAAGGTGAATTAGACTAGATTAGTAGAAAGATTCTAAATATATCCTGGCCAAATCAACTGACTATTTATCTGTTAATTGCTGACGTGTTTTATTTATTTTTAAGAATTATAAAAATGTAACATTGCACACTCCAGTATGGCATGGGTAGTTTTAGAGCACCAGCTGTATTTTCCTTCAAATTGTAGATCGCCTTCTTAAGCTTTAAATACAAAACTATGCACACAAAAACAAATGCCTGTTTGTTTAATAGTGGAAGCATCATCAGAAAACAGAGTCCAAATCACCACATGCTATTCCTGTTTCCATGAAAGAACTGCTTTTAGCTCAGAGCAATACGTAAAATTCTTCCCGCTTTCCCATGTAGGACCCAATCACCAGTACATAGAGAGAGACTCAAAAATGCAAGAGGTACCGCAAAAGAAGAAAAATTGTTATTTACGTGTGAGCATATGGTTCAAACTGAATACAACTTACATTTTTTAATGCACTTTTGTACTACAGGATCATTCTATGCAAAAGCATGGACAGTAAAGATTTCTAAAGAAATCTCTTTGAGTCTAGTACTATTAGAGCAAACACAAGAGCCATTTATATACAAAAGAGCACTACACAATTGATCTGAAAATGAAATAAAACAGCTTTTAAGATGCAAAACCCATATGGAAACACACCACCTTCTCTTCCTTTAATGCAAGCAAATTAATAGCATAAGGTGTCAGTGTCAAATGTCATTCATTTTGCCTTAACTGTACAACACGTACAACATTAACTGTAAAAGATTTCAGATTATCCAGACTTTTCTCTCCTGGCTTTCCTTTCTGAGTTAAAAACCTAAATCCATATAACTGCTGTCACTTCATATAAAGAAATTCTAAACAGCACACACATTCAATAAAAATCTAACAAATTAACAAAAAAAAAAATCTCTGGAATTTAAGTGGTTCCCAGTAGTAATCAAGACCATATTATTTTCTTCGAAATTCTAATTTGATAAGTATTTACTAAGTAGCTATAGTTGGATTTGTTTAAAGTAGAAATCTCAAATATTTTTCACAATCTTTAAGAAAATATTTTTTCTTGATTTAATATTTGAGAGAAAATATTTTATTAAAATTTCTGTGAAAAATAAAGTCTTCTAACTTGGTGATGTTTTCTAGATTAAGTTAATACCTAAATCTTCCCATTAGCTTTACTTTAGGCAATAAACTAAAATAAGTTATAGTCATTGCTAGTAACTCTTCCACAACTCAGTATAGCACATGAGGTTGATAAGGCTTCTGGGAGATCTAATCTCAACTGTTTGCTATGCTGATACTCCTTATTTTCTGTATTACCATCGTTGTCTCTTACCTCCTTTTTTTTGTTCTTCAGCATGTTCTGGAATTTGGACAATTCCTTCTCCTGTTCTGCTTTGATGCGTTTTGCTTCATCTCGTAACCGATTTGTGTGTTCCTGTTCCAAGCGTTCTATTGTCTGTTTCTGCTGTTTTTCTAGATTTTCTATTTCTTGATCATACTGTCGCTTTTTACTCTGTAAAAATAATTCAGCATATTGTCTTAGAAAACTAAATTCCGTTCAGTGAAGTGCTGTACCACAGCAGAGGATGGCCATGACGAACTGTCCTGGCAGGCGAGTTCTAGTATACAAGCTGTGCACCCCGTAATGGAAAATACTGTCATTTATTAACAAGAATGAAAACTAAGCTATAGCCTTCATAAAAGAAAACACCTGATTGCTGCTAGTAGTATTCTGTCTACTCCATCAAGATGTGATATTTTAAGAGCATCAAAATCCAGAAACTCACTGTCATTTCCTGTTCAAATCGTCTGTACATCTGTTCTCGCTGTTGCAAAAGCTTATTACTGAGTTGCTGTTGGGCTCTCTGCTCCTCTTTCTGAAGAAGTCTTAGCTCTCTTAGCTCTTGACGTCTAATAATGAAAAAGGAAACTTAATATTGATGGGAAAACAAACGAAATGGAAAATTACAAAAGATGAAAAAAGCATCTACAACTTAGGTCCAGTAAAACTAGTTTTGAATTGACTGACTTAAGAAACACTTTACATTTCTTTCTGCTAGCAAAATAATTGAAATTAATCCCCAAATATTATAAATCATTAGCCCCCTTCTTTTATTCAAAGATAAAAACCCCTAGCTGCTAACCTCCTGCAAATTTTACTTTTAAAACCACTTACCGTAGAAATCGCATTTCTTCACTTTTCGAGTCATTTTCAGTAACGATTTTTGATGTGGTTACACTCACTTCTACTCCATCAACAACAAACTTCCGAGTTTTCTTCAAAGTTTTCTTCTGTCTTCTAGTTTCCTGAATAAGGCATCGGTAAGTTATTCTATACTTATTTAAGTTATATCCTTTTTTCCCTTTTTTCTTAATCTTAAATTACCTCAAATATTTCTGTGAAGGTCTACTGTAATCAGGAGTTCTTCTTGCTTATCAGGTACCTCATTAATCAAGTGAGAACTTGAAAATTTCTAATATACTGAAACTCCCTCTAGTCAGCAAAGGAAAACTGTAATTATTGATCATCTAAATTGTCAGGAAAAAAAAATAAATATCTAGATAAACCCTGAACAAAACTGATGCAGTTTTATTTTCAAGAGCTGAAGAAAGTTGCAATTACCGTTTGCTTTTGACCATAATTTTCCCAGTCAACAAAAAAGATATTTAATTCCAAAAAACAGTACTGAAACAGAATAGCAATTTACTCAACTACTTACTTCTGCTTTGGAAATAAATTAAAAGAGCCAGTTTATTTTTTTTTATTCATATATATTAGTGAAAAATTCATGTGATGATCTTGCCAACAGAATTAGAGAAATCTCACTTCTCAGAGCTGCTATTGTTTCGTACCAAGAGAAGAGAGATCCCAGCTGAAACTGCATCTTCATTGTGCTAGAGCTATTGCAAACAACTTGAAGTCCTGCTTAGTACAGTTATGTCAAGTTACGATTTTTGGTTGGGGGTTGTTTTTTTTCTTAAAACCAATGGTTACACAGTTACTATCCTAGTACAGCTATAATAGTATTAGTATAAAGATAAAAATAAAGTTCATAATCCGGAATGTGTTTCCTCTGATTAAGCTCATTCATAATGTATAATTGCATCGATATAGTACAACCATAGGAGTACAGTGTTCAGAATAAACAAACCTGAGAGACTCTCTGCCTTAGATCTTCTAAATCTAAACAGAGAGAAGATGGAAGTGACAGGAATTCAATATAAGATTAGATATTTTAAGAGATTTGTCCTTATAGGGGATTGTGTGCTGAGTAAGGCATTGAAGTAGTCTCCTTGAATATCAGTTCTGAACTACTACGACTCACAAATCTTCACCTTCAATATTAAGACTTCCTGTTATATGCTAGTCCACATTTTTGAAATACAATTATGCAACAAAATAAGAAAATAATTAGCAGCTCTGTAGCTTCTAGCTTTGCTTCATAACTGCACAAAATCCAGACACTGTTGGAATGCGCAATTTAGAATACTTTGGTTTCTACAAAGTTTTATATTCCACATTGTCATAGTAGTTTCTCACTCCATTTTCTTTGTTGCAAAAGTCAAACTTGGAGATAATTTTAGGGTCACACTTACATAGGATTTTTTATAAAAATATATGATTGCTTATATTTACCTGTAAAGATATTGATCCTGTCTCTTTGTTTTTACTAAGGAAACTAGAAATTGACAAGTTCAAATCAATGCTGCTGTTATCAGCTGTAGAACCAGTGCCTGAATCTGCATCATTTTCCTTCAAATTCTCCGATTCTAGCTGCTGTAAAGTTTCAGTATTGTCTTGTCTGTCTGTTTTGACTTTCTCCTCATTTTCTTCAATGCTAATACTAATACCGGGGACTTTAGTGACTTCAGAGTCATCAGCTTGTTCCCTGACAATATCTTGAAGCTTATCCTTCATTATTTCATCAGAAGTAACTTCTGAATGTTCTTTGTCTATCTGAATATTGTTTTCCTGGATATTCTCAGGTCTGCGCTCTTCTGAGTTTTGGTCCGTATCAGTTGGTTTATCCACCACTTTATTAGAAATATCCTCAGGCTTGCTCTGTATTGCCTTGTGGTCTACGTCATCTTTTCTAGAGTCTTTGATCTCTGTTTCCTCCATGCTGCTTACATTACTAATATCCTCATTTTCACTTTCTGTCAGTTTCTCATCTACTTTGATCGCTTTACCTTGGCTTTCCAATAGAGTTTCTTCAGAGCTGATTATCTCATGGACCTGCTTAGCCTGACTTTCCACTGGCTTATCCTCCGTCTCAGGTATTTTATCCCCATCACTGATCTGTGTTTCAGCAATACTACCTATCTCCTTAATGTTGTCAATTCCATGCTTTACTAGTTCCTTTTCTTCATCAGCCACTTTATCTGCAGCATTAGGTAGAGTTTCTATGGTGGTGTCTATTATTGCTTCTTTCTGAGCTTCATCTTTATCTTCCTTTTGCTCTGCAGTATTTTCTGAAGGGACGTTTTCTTCCTTACTTTCGGAGAGATCAGTTCTGTTCTCATTCTCTTCTTTTTCACCAGTTTCCTTAGAAATAGCTTTTTCAGTTTCTACACTATTTTCAGTTGTAGGTACCATTTTCAGTTTATTATCTTCTGTCTGTTCATTTTCCATGTTATTTTCTTTCTCTGTTTTTAGGTTGGGTTCATCCTTTATTTCTGATTTTGTTAGCACATCAAGTTCTTCCCCTCCTTTCTGGGGTTCTGTATCTTCATGTGGTTTTCCCAGGCTTTCTGCATTCTTTTCAGGTGGCACTATTTTGCCTTGCTCATCTTCATCAGTTGTCACAGAACCATTCTGCACTTTCATACCACCAACAGTAGTATCATATATGTTATCAGCTGTTTTCCTAAATTTAATGTCCTCAGAATCATCTCCAGTTGTTTTGTCATCTTGAAATATAGTGCTGGCTTTGTCCTCAGTTGCATTACTTTCTGTTTTCTCAGAAAGAGATTCCAGAACAGAGGCATTCTGCGAAAGTTTATCCTCTTCAGAGCTGGCAATACTAAGGTCAGAGGATGCACGCTTCTCTGCGGGTAACTGCTAAAAAATTAAAGGAAGAAAAATATTTAATAATTTTCTAAATTAAAGCACAGTTCTGTTGAAGAATACCTGAATAGAGATAACTATTGTATTTACAGGCAGAGTTACATGAATTTGATAATCTCAGGATACTTAATTTGGTATTACCACAGAACAAGTGCATGAACTGCAGACAGGCTCTGAACAGAACAGTTTCACAAGAACCCTCTCCTATCTCTCATAATTTAATAAAATACACTGTGATTGAAGGAAAGGGATCATAGTCAGCCCTCTGCCTCACACTTAACAGAAACTTCAAGACTCTTCCTCCAATCGCGTTGCTTTTTTTTTTTTTTAATTAGTTCAGTTCCCTGGTAGTCCCAGCTACGGTTGGATTTGAAAGACATGTCTTTGTGCCAGTTTGGCTAGAAAGAAGCTGTATAGCTTTAGTTAGTGCAGCACTGATAAAATGCAATATTAAGATCTTCTTCTGCTTGATCAAAAAGAGTATCTTTATGTTCTTTGTTAAAAATGCCTGAATATTATTTGGTCTGTTTTTTCTTCACTGTGAAACTCCATTAAAATGGTGAAAACCTCCAGCAGACTAAGTGGCAATACAGAACTAGAATAGAAACAGTTACATAACCGTAGAACTTGCTGCTGCTGGAATATGAATGTTATCAGATTACATACAGACATATAAAAGAATATACTAATGAAGTATCATTTTAACCATAATTGCCCTTCCACTCTTCAAAATGATTGCAATATCTCTCTGTCTATATTTACCGTTAGAACCCTGTAATTTGCAGATCAGGCTTCTGATTTGCCATTGGGAACATACCAGGTTAGTTATTATAACAAGCATGGGTTTGATCATGCATTTCCTACCTTAAGGTTTTCCTAAGCATACAGAAAACAATTCCTTTTAAGTCAAAAGTGCATTTAAAAGATTTCTTCACCTAATTGTTTTAGAAGCTTAGTGTTGATCTCCAAGCAGTTTTAAAAACTACCACAGTAAAATAATGTAAATGAATCTACCTCACAGTTTCCTAAACTGCTGTTCATGTTGAGACACTTAATTGAGTCACAGGGTGGTGGACTTCACTCTGACCCGTCCTAGGACTGATGCCTTAGCAGCTAATCAGCAGAGGGAGGTGGTGGGTGATGCCTTAGGAGACAGAGACTAAGTCCTGGACAAAGCTGGTGGGAATGAATGCTTGGAGATCTGCTGGGGTGGACTGGGAAAGTGGTATGAAGGCCAGGGGATGTGACCAGCATGGTGAGGGGCGAGGAGGAAATGGAGGCATGTTTCTTGTGCACATGCATTTGGCTTCTTTACCATTGCTGGTAATGGCAGCTACTGATGGTACTGGTCACTGTCCATGTTTGTAGCGCTTGAGCCGGTGAAGTCAGAAAGCATGCTACCTGTATATTCTGCAACGTACTACCGTATCACTGAACTTCATGGCTTTGCCCTTTGAGGAACTGAATTGTGCTGTAAGATTCTTAAACACCTTTAGAAATACATTCATAAATGCAAACCTGTCTTGGTAAAATACAGGGATTTTTTGCTTTTGTTTTTTTTTTTTCTTTCACAGTCATGCTGTAAAATCATAAACTTAGTTTATAGCATAATGGTAACATACCTTCCTTAATGTTTTAAGTATCTTATAAAATACAAATCTATGTTTACTCGTTCATCTAGTCATTTTGACTTAAAACCATTTATATAAAAACCAGTATCTGATTTTTAAAATTCTGTACTACATATACATGTAAAATTAATGAAGATAATATTCTTTATTAGATAATATACTTTATTATTAGTTCTTAAAGAGTTTAAGAACATGCTGATTTTGAAAATGCTGACTACTTATTTTGTAATAAAGTTAGAGTATGTTTATGTTGTTATTCTTAGAAGACTTGATGCAAAAGTTGGGTAGTACATCAGAAACTGAGTTCTCCATAGGAAACTGGTAACTGAAACTAGCTGCATCTTTTAAAATGTAAATTTTAAACTGACCAGAGAATTTTCTGCTTCTTCTTCTTCATCTTCATCTTTACCATCTTCAACTTCTTCTGTAACTTCAGCCTTAGCTTCTGCGATCAATTCTCTTATTGGTTTATTGGAAGTAACAGTAACAAATGGATGCTTGTGAAAATAAAAAATAAGCACAATATTAAGTGATGACTTCATGGTACACAGTGGAAAAATCATAACTTGAAAGAAACATAACTTCAGAAAAAATGATACTTTGGTTCTCTCAAACTTGAAGATTCACAGTTAACAGCAATCATAACTGTCCTAATGTATTTTTTCTGCAGAAGTTTTAAAATCAAAACATTTGCATTCAAATATACTGTGTAAGTAGTTTAACAAACTTGCTAAAAATACAAATAATTCATTTGTACTGACCTGTTTCACAATCCAAAGAATAGAAGTAGAAAGATTTTTTAAAAGGTTACTTTTCCTGGAAACAAGTTTCATTTCTATTCAGTTCCACAGTTAAATTATTTCCTGATAAGTTTTATCTAGAAGTATTCTTTCTAGAAAAAAATCTGGTTTGACTTTAGAACATTTTTTCCTAACAAGAACACAGAATTCTACATTTTTTGTTAAGAGGAAACAGCTACCTGTTCTTCTCCTACTGTCTGAATCTTCTTTCTCTGCTTGGCCCTGCTGCTTAAATCTATTCAACATATGCCGGATGTATTCTGGATAAAGTAAATGCGTGCTGACGTTAAACAGAACCAAATGTACCTAGTCACATCTACTTGTGTTTAGCTGTTCTGCAGTGACAGCATTATACACAAAGGCTGAGCACTAAAGCTTGTAGAACACCTGTCAGCAATTGATTACTTACGTAAATATCTCCTTCATCCATTGTAAGTATCAAAGTATAAATACTTATGCAAAGTAATTAGTTATATTACAACAAAATACGTAAACAAAGAATTTGATCTGCACTTGGTATAATTTAATCAGATTTTACCAAATAAGGATCAATGCAACAATTTTAAAACAGATTGTGTACACTTAATTTGAAATTATTTAAAGTTACTATAATACTGCTCTGCCTTTAAAAAAAATACAAAATATGCTTGCCTTTAAAAACAGTTCTGAACAATTAACTCCTCCTACCTGTAGAAGTTGAGTTGCACTCCACCTTGCATCTACATTCTTTTCCAAACATTTCTTCAGAAAATCTTTAAAATCTGATGACCTACACAAAAAGCAAACAGGTAGTGGTTCTTCCTTTGTCTTGACATCAGGCTAGCGTATAGTGAAATATTCTTTTGCTTTCACATGCATCTACACTGCAACTCCAGGTCCTTCTATTGATTTAGGAAACACAAAGATAGTACAGGAATGCAAAGACCAATGTGGCACAATCTTTAAAATGTTTGTGCATTAATAGAAAAAGTTTACTTTTGGCTCTGGATTTGTAATACACCACATCTGCTATATCACTAACTGAATCCCATAAAGATATTAAAATGAACAAATAAATAACAGCTTTTAAAATGTTTTCTTAATATAAAAATACTTTAAGTCTCCTTTCGCCTGATTTTCTTTTTCTTGTTCAGATGGTCTTCAGATCTTTATTGCATTTGTAAAAAGCTATTTTGCACACGTTTTAATGCAAAATCTGCAACATACTTCAGTATATAAGCTTCTATGCAGAAGTACAACAAAAAGACCATAGTCCCAATTGTATAAGGAGATATATATATCTCTGTATGTGTACATGTACAAACAAACATTTATAGAGTATGTACCTGACTTTATGCATAAAGCTAGTCCCATAAAGCTCAACAGGTCTATGCCCATGTCTCATACTCAAAACCTGCGAATTGGGGTGGGAAAGTTGTAAATAAAATACTAACCATTTTGAAGGCTGTGCTAATGTAGGTGGATCAGATTTTGCTATTTTCAGAAGCACTCGCATTGGATTTAATTCATGATGAGGTGGCTCTATTTGAGCCATTTCTATTAAAGTAATGCCAAGAGACCAAATATCAGCCTTGTAATCATAAGGCCTGTCTTTAGAGGTCTCGCACATTACTACTTCCGGAGCCATCCTGCAAAGAGAATAATGAAGTACCAGATTAGAAAATGCACTCTTATTTGTTCTGAAAAGGTTCTAAATAGATAAATTCACTGAAGCATTTTAAGCAGCACATTCTACTCTCACTTAATACATTTACATAATACTGTATCAAGCTTGTAATATTAACAAAGGTAATATTAAGATATTAGTTCATACTAAAAAGTCAGCAAAACGGTGTGCTTACCAATATGGTGTACCAATAAAAGAATCTCTTCTTTGTATTGTTCTTGTGTTTTTCGCTGATACTCCAAAATCCGCTTAAAAGCAAACAGTAAAATGCTATTAACTGGTGGTGGAAAACATATTATATTTTTGTATTTTACAACTGTCTTTTAAAATATTGTATGTTCCACAGCAAGCATTCTGCAGTATTAAAACTTCAAAGTGAGATAAAAATATTTGTGTTTTAACAACTGAGTGCCAAGGTTCTGTAGCATTTCTAATGAAAGATACTGAATAAACATTATTCTCCATTCCTAAAAAAAACCATAATGCTACTGTTGAGCCACGTGGGACAAATGTGATGCATGTATTTACTGTAGGCATAAGTGGGTTAAATTATTTAAATTAGAAAATAATTTCTTTAGCCTGCAAAGTCTGTATTCCTCAGACATGGCATTAGCGCTCTCATTAATTCAACAACTCATTCAATTTTTAATTTCAGGATTCAAATTCTCATAAAGCTACATTTTTCCTTTATCTTTCCCTTTCCCTTTATCACGTTTCCTTCCACGTGACTTTTCACTTCATATTAAATACCTGAAAGCTTGCATATGCACCTTTGATGTAACATCCAACCAAAAATCAATTTTATCATTGCAATTAATTGTACTTGTCTACAAAGCACTACATTTCTCACTTAGAAAAAAAGGATGACATTTAAGTAAGTGTTACATCTTATTATAGATGTAACTTCCTTAATGAAGATCTAGATTTTAGAGCAAAGGGACAAAATAGCCATATGTTGCCATCTTTAATCTGTACAAAATTACTTGATGGGCTCAACACTTGAGAAGCCTCATTTCGCTCTGTGGAAAAAAAAAGATAAGGACTAAGAGAGCTATTTGTTCAAACGCAAAATCTGAATTCTTGAGGGACTACAGATACTGAAATAATAAAACTCAAATCCTCATACAAATAAAATGCAATGAAATAAATGTATTTGCCGTTCACATATTTGTAAAACAAGGAATTACTCATTTCTGTGTGTACCAGAATCAAAATACAAATAATTTAAAAGGAGTAAAATGCTCTTTAAAGGGATACTGTACACTTTTCAAAATTAAAGCAAATCTTTTTTTGGAAATGTTAATTAGCAAACCTGAATACATCACTAAATGTATGCGTGGAAGAAATCTCCCAGTGGTCTGAACTGTAAAGTAGTATTTTGGAAGCTGCACAGTGCTGCGTACCAGCTAAGTTTGACAAAATTTTTAAACAGTCCCAGTCTGTATGAAGAGGAGCCAGGTCATGCAAGGCACATAAAATGAACAGAAACAAATGATTCTCTCTCTGACCGTGAGACTCTTGCTATGATCTGTGATTTCTTTTACAGTAGTACTAAGAAACTAAGATAGTGGTTCTATTACATTTATAAATAATGACTATGAGACCGAGTCCATCACTAAATCTTCAGGCTTCCAAGAAAAGTCAAAACAGTAAAGCTACGTGTACTTTGCGGATGAAGAGAAAGGCACAAGCAAGTATTGTATGTACAAGTAACAACCTTGTGCAAGGGAATCCATGCAAAAAGCCCAGATACACTTAACTGATCAATGTAGCAAAGCAGGTTCTTAAATAAGTCTCAACTTCTTAACAGAGATGATGCACGATACCTTATAGAGACACTGCGATCAATACGAGTTAGGTAGTGGTACATTTGTGAATTTGGACATGTCTTGCATACATTTAAAAGGAAAGTCTGTAGCAAAGTTGGGAATTTAGAGCCCCAGTTCACTGTGGTGATCTTCTGATTCTCCTTATCTTTACCCTCTGTGTAACTTGCAGCCAAAGAAATACAACTCATCACACACATCACGTAGAGAGAAGTTTTTGAAACCTGAATGCAAGCTGCTATGTCATGGAGCTATGACACTGGTAGAGCCACTGTAGAGGCTGACAGCTTATACACATTTGCCCCTGACCAAGCCCTGAATAAAGTGGATCCAGACAATTTCTGTCTTTTCCTGGCTGAATGAAGGGATGCTATTCACCACCAGTAGTCCTTTGTCAGTTCTTCATGGAGGAATCCTCCTGGACTCCCTACCACATTAGGGGGAAAATGTGGATGACTGCTTAAATTCAGATTGAAAAAATAGGAATCAACAATAGGAAGCTTGTACTAATTTTCTTCCAGAGTGTTCTATCTTAATTTCAGTGGAACGAACAACTAAAAAAGGCATGAAAAAACTAAGTTGAGTAATTATGATTATTACCTCTCTTCTTCTCAGTAATGGAAGAGACAACAGTAATAGGTACCAGGTTTTGGTGATAGTGAAGGATGTTTATTTTCTAAACTAACGACTTCAACGGGAAGTTCTGATAGTAAGTTACTGTAGTAAAGATAATTAAGAACTAAGTTTCTTATACTAAGAAACACTAAGACTCATGTCTGACTTTAGGCAACTCAGTACAGATACTCATATGACTCCTACAACTGCTGATTCTGAAGTCTGAAAGATGTGCTGAGTACAGTTAGGTCATACACTCAAGCTTCTTTTTTTTTTTTTTCCTCTTTTTTCTTTCTTCATAGTAGCAAACCACTTGCATCTGAAAAAACTCTCATTGTTAGATTGATATTTAAATAGATAAATACTGAATTCTGCCAAACTACAGTCTAAGGAAAACACAATTATAAGACCGTGCAAAGTATTGGGAAAGACTTTTATATGCAACATGCTTACCTAGTTTAATGTCTCCATCTAACGTGAAAAGAATATTGCCAGCTTTTAGATCTCTGTGGATGATCTTATTTTCATGCAAGTAGTTCAATGCTTCCAGCGTCTGCCTGCACACCACTTTGATCTGTGGCTCTGTTAATGGTCTTTCAAGCTCTACAAGAGAAAGAGACAGAAATAAACACAACATTTTTGCATTTATGTTATGTGTTCACAGCAATCAGTATAGAAGTATAAGTGAAAACTAATTCATCTGGCAGATTCTGAAGACCCTAGGTCAGAAAAACTTCTATCTGAAAGTATTTGCTCCTTTCAGCAAAAAATTCCATCCCTTGTACTCAAAATCCACCTCATTATGAACTATGTATATGTGAACTGTGGAAGAGCTATATAGTTCAGAGATTGGTTCTTTTGTGCGGTACACAGAAATGTTAAAGACTAGATTCTTTAACTACTGGTATTAGCATTCACCTAATTTAAGAAGTAAGCACAGAAAAATCTAACTTCAAGATTGATGCAATATAAAAAATTATCACAACGTAATTTGGAAGATGGCAGGGGAAGGGGAAGAATGAGATCCTGAAAAGGGCTCATATAGAATACAACAGAAAGCTCCATAAGCATATAAGAACAACTCATCACATTGACTTAAAGGATCAAGACAAAAATGTGTGTTGAAAAGTAAATAAACACTTTAAAAATTACAGAAAATTAATCTAACTTAAGTTATAATGTCCATAGATACAGGTGTAAATGCTAATTTAAAAACCTCAACATTCAACACATATACCACACCAATTACATAAATCTTTGCATTTCAAAACAATATACATGTGAAACAAGTCTTACAATATATATTATAATTTTACTTGCTATTAAGTTTATTACTTGAAACAACTTATTTACCCAACATTACTGCATCTACTGCTCCACCTGCACAAAATTCGATCAGGATCTGTATATAAACAAAAGAATACACAAATTACAAATTAAATAGTTCCGCTGAACTGAACCATTGATTAAGGGAGCATTATTGGGAGACCAGAGTTTCAGGTTATTTGACCTTGACAAATTATTTCACTGATCTCTGCAAAATATTGGTACTGTTACCCAGCTAAAAGTAGGGCTGTAATGCTCAATCAAATCATTTGAAAAATGCTTGGAGATCCTCAGACAAAAGTTTTAATCCAAATATACAATTGCATAATAAAACTTGTAAAACAACCAGCTTGAACCTGATTCATTGTAATGTGATTTACATAATTCATGCAAACTCATTTTTCAATTACTAAATTGTACTTCTATACTATATTCTCTCCAACTGAAACGTCCAAGTAGAAGAGCTACATTATTCTCCAGTAGCAGATGTTATCTCCTATATTGCTTCAGATGAGATGAAAATATCGAAAAATACTCTTAGAAGTTACATAAAACTACTAAACTCAGATGTTTACATTAATTTTCCTCCATTTTCATTGCTGCCTACAATACATCAAGGTTTCTATCCCAGTATCTAATAATACTAGAACAACCCCATCTCCAGTTCTCTGTTTCCTTTTGAAACGGAAATAAACTGCTATCATTTTAGGGCACAAACTATGCTGACATGTAGGACAGAAAGAACATATACAAAGGAGAAAGAGGGTAGACAAAGAGAATGAGGACAGCAAGGAAGAGGAAGGGTCATCCAAGATTGACATCCCACTCTTCCTTATGTGTTTTTTCTTCTTTAATTTGAAATTCAAACATTAAATTATAATTTTCAGTCTGATAGCTAATGAGTACTTCTTGTCAGAATCCTAACAGTCAATATTCTGTGAAATAATATCATTTTTTCCTTTAGAGTACTTCTAAAATGAGAGTATAACTGCCCATAAAAGAGGAAACCTCAAATTATACCTTATACCTTAACACTTACATATACACCACTTACGTTACATATTATTTCACATTACTATTACAATTAATCCTCACAACAATGGTACTAACAAATGTACTATATTATGCAATTCTTTAAGTCTTTTAAACCAATATTCCATTTACTTGCTTCTATATACCTACTACCAAGTTAGTTAAGCATGGGAAATTGTAAATAAATAATTTCTTTCTCTAGAATTTGCTGTTTGATCTGACAATCTGACAAAGGTCTCCTTGGTAGAGAAATCATGTTTCTAAATTGGAAAGGAAAAGCGTATTTTATGTCCAACTATCATCCTTCTCTTTTTTTTCCTCCACTAAATTCTGTTTACTTACATCAGTATAGCCTTCCCTTTGTCACTTTCATGCCTCTGCATTTCACTGTGACTATATGTCTACAATTTTATTTTCAAACTATTTACTCTTCTTCTATCTTTATTCCACCAGTGAAGCCTATTCACTCAGTTTGATATTCTGCCTCTATGCATACTTGCTTTCATGCTGACCTTATGCACTATTCCACTGTTTTATATATCATTTTACTCTCATTCAGATCACGCAAAGTTTTCACAGAGCTTATCAAAATAAATCTACATCAGGAAACATGGTATTATGCTTCCATTGTTTTCATGTTTAAAGGATAAAGCATATTTGTAAGACTCCAAGGAAATTTTCTTTTACTTATTTTAGGTACCTTTTTTTATCACAAACTTTTTAAAAAAACATGTCTTCTTTGTACAATTCCAAAAGCACTTATAAATATGGCATTGGATCACCTAAAAGAATAAATTGAATTTTCAAAGCTAAAGCTATTCAGTGCACAGGATATAGCAGAAGTGTGATGTACAGTCATATGCATGCCCACTATACTTCTATGTATAAAAATCTAGGTTTTAAGTAAATTAATTATGATTCAAGTCCTGGTCACCCGTCCTCCCTGGAAGTACCAAGGAATCCACTCTTATCTAAAATATATACTTCACAGGCTGACCTTTTCAGCACATTATTTATTTTTTAGCTGCGGATTCTGAATCTCACTCTAAATTGTGCTAATGTAACTAAAATCTGAGTCCCGCTGTTACAAATAAGCACTAAGAACTCTCGCCATACAACAACATGAACTGCTAATTTCTAAATTTTATATTCAAACTTCTGACCAAATGACTCAGTGTAGCTCAATTTTACAGTGACAATTTCCTGAAAGTCATATTCACAAATTAGTTTTGAAACTGAATAGTTATCCCAATAGTGACAACCCAGAATAAAAAGTTAAAGAAAAAAAAAAGTAATTTCAATAACCTTTTGAAATAAGTAAAAGCATTTAGAGAAGAAAAAATACCTACCCACAGATTGTTTTCATAGTAGAAAGCATCTAGGAGCTTAACAATATTAGGATGATCACAAGATGCTAAAATATCAATCTCAACCATATAATCTTCAAGTTCTTCTTCTGATTTAGTATCAATCACCTTTGCAGCAGCCAGTACTTTTGTTTCTTTGTTCTGAGCCTATGAAAGAAAAGTCAGAGCAAACACATATATGTGAAATTCACCAGACAAATGTCACCAGAAAACAACAACAAAAACCCTCTTGACAGTTCTGTACTATTTTCCTGCCTTTAATTTGCTTCTCTACAAAAAGAGAACACCTGCATATTAAAGGCTAGATAAAATCTAGCAGAAAAAGGGTTTAATAATTTTTCTGAAGGTCAAGAAGCAATGAAAGACAGGAATATAAAACCACTTAATTCTCATCACATTCTTAAACCATCATGCAGTCAATAGCTTAGGGTCGTTACTATTTTGTACTCCTAAGATGAAGTTTTGTGCTGCTCCTCAAAAAACTACTATCATTTGGCAAGAAGTAGCCTTCACCCTTTCATTTCTGACTGCACATTCTTGCCCTTCTGACACTTCCCACGTTGTGGCAGCACAGCTGTTCGCAAAGCCACATAGAAAACCACAGCCTCTACCAGTCAACAGTAGGTTACGCTCCTCTTCAGCCAGGGGCTGTATTCAAGCTACCATGTTAAAAAGTGGCCAAGCCATCATTGATTCGTCTGGGCATTTTACTCTCTTTACTTCCTAAGTCTAGGAGGACTTCCACAGATGGCTACTCATTGCAGTGGGCCACACTGAAAATGCTGCTGGCCTCTGCTTTACTACTCCATGCCTTAAGACCAGGGAGCTAGAACTGCTGTAGTGATAAGGTCAACTGGAGAACAAGTGAGATTTTGACTTGAAAAGCAAAAGGAAAACAAGACCTTGGGTACCCAAGGGAGGCAAAAAAAAAAAAAAAGGGGGGATTTTTGGGGTACCCAAGGGAGGCCAAAAAAAAAAAAAAGGCGGCATTTCTGCTATGCATTTATTCTTTGGCTTTTTTTAAACAGAAGAAATTACATACAAATAATTAGGGTAACTTATTTAAACAGCAAAAAAAATCAGAAACCAGTTGCTATAAATATTTATTCACAGCAATACTGCTGAGAAACTAATCCAGGAAAACTAGGCAAGGTGAGATTATTTTTCTTTTAATATATGGGTGATAACCAAATATTAAACACACAGCCTATATATGTGTGTGTACATATACACACACCCCCCAAAATATACACGCTTTCTAGTAATTCTCTTGCAAGTTATGTTTGAAGGAATATGGTAACTTAGAATTTAGTAAACTTTAAACAAGAAGGTGTATTTTCTCAAGTCATCATGAAAACACTAGTTTGTCAAGACATTTCCAGTGGTTACCTTTTGCCTCTGAATAAAAGAAGTTGTAGGACTCAAGTCTACTTCACCAATTACACATAAATATCATGAATAAAAGGCCTGGATTTACTCCACCTAGCTTTTGACATTCAAATGAAACTAAATGTGAAGTAGGCTCTGTCCAAAGCGGCAAAAGACAGGAACCTGCAGGGGCAATTCTGACTCCTAATGTGAAACATCACAGGGTGGTTCATCCTGTCTCTCTGCTGGTACATGGGGCAGCTTGGCCCCAAACCTAGTTGAGCTGAACCCAGGACAGGACACAGCAAGAATCCCAAAACCTGACTTTTGCCACCAAATCTCGTTATACTGGTATCAGACAGCAAGTAAGAATTCTTAAGAACAATTTACAAGGTCTAAATGTTATTACTTTCACAGCCATAAATAATTCTCTCAATGTGGCAAAAGAGAATAAAAGATTTGAAATTAAACGTTTATGATAATATTCAGTAAAACAGCAGTAACAGCAAAACACACTTATAAGCTTAGTCCTAGCTGATTCATCTTATGTTGAGGGCAAAGCTTTTCTGTAACACGTATTCTTATCTCAATATTCTTTCCAAAACAAAAAACAACCGATCTTCCCAACTTCAATATTTGCCTTCCCGTTTTTAACAACAAAGATAAGGGATCTGTATAACAGTATTCAAAAACAAACTACTGAGAAGTTTTCCAACACACATTCTAATAATAAAAAGGTCTGCTTAATAACGCAAACATCATTTGTTTTGGTTTCATGCTTTATAGCAAAAATGAAAGACCAACCTTCCTATTCTAGAGCTGCACTGTAAATTAAACATGAAAGGTGAAACAGATGTCTGACTCCACAACAGAATTAGACTCGGTAGCTTTACATGTGCAGGAAAATGGTTGTTAAAGCACCTTTCTAAAGAATTCAACTATTAATTGTAAATTTACTTTATTGAAACATGCATGGCCACACACTCTCCACTGTATCTTACAAGAAAGATACTTAAAAAAAGAAAAATTCCAAAATTCATTTTTACACAAGTTTGACTGTAAACAATATAATGGTAATAATATTTTGTTTAAATAAAACTGTTTTAAACTTCTACATCAGGTAACAATAACAGATGTTACTGTTTTCAGATTCAGTTTCACCTTTGCAGGGGGGGCATTGGTAAATTAGCACGCATGATTACATGCTAGGGAGTCTGCTGCATTTATAGCATACACTGCTTTTTCCTATTGACAGACTACTTTGTATTTTGATTTTTCCCAGATCCATTTGCTTGAAGTAACTAGAAGTCTGCTTTAAGTAAGTTTCTTTTATTTCCTCTTTGTGGTAGCTCTATTAGAACACCTCATTAAAAACCAGAAGTGATTATAGACACAGTATGATTATCTTTATGAGCATCTTAACAATTATAAACAGAAAAAATGTTCGCCTTTGTTCTGACTTGAGATAGTAACATTTTGTAGGTCTAGATCCAGACTTTTTTCCCAGTTCTTTAAAGAAAAAAGCTTTAGAATTAGCAGATTTCCACTGGTTATTTCTGAAGACTGATAAAACATTTTAAGTATACATCAAGTTACATCTGAAAATAAAAAAAAAAGTCTTTATATATTTTAAACAGGACTTAAAAAGTTCTTTTTGAACAAGACATTATTCATCTCCACCCCACAATGCACTCTATAATAAATACCCATCTATGTGAGTTGCTGTAAGTAGTATGTAAGAAATATGCTCTTTTGAACTGTGTAGGAAAGGATTTTACTGTAGACGCATAAGATTATGTAGCATTTGGGGGGGGGGGGGGGGACAACAAACCCTTTGGATTAAGAGGAACAAAAAGGATTTACAGCTTTGTGTGGGCATGTTTATTTTTTCTAGACTTTGGCTGAAGTCTTTCTTCTGTACATAACATTCTCCAAAGGTCAGAGCAGGAGCAAAAATGTTTGTGTAGACGCAGTCTTGATTTGCATATACTCATTTTGCATTTGGGTACATGAACATTTAAAGTTAAATAACCATTCATGTTACTACTCAGAGGTTCTGCCTTTTCAAATATGTCCTGTATCAGTAGTCTAGCAGTTTGTTCCTATATTTCAGCTCTCGACTACCAATTGAAGTTATTCCAAAAGCTCTGCTTAAATACATTTGATTCTGCTTCCATGACAGGTTATTTAAGCTTCAGTCCTATGCTAAGAAATCCAAACTGGCATCCTCAATGATTATGGTTCAACCCTGCCTTATGCGTAGACAAGGAAGAAAGGAGGTGAGAAATTTTCTTTCATTAACAAAATTTAATCTTTTTAAAAAATTCATACACAATGGTTGAAAATTGAATTGGAATAACCCATTCCCCCAAGATCTAACTAATGCAATATGACATAGATATTATTAACTATTATATGCAACAATACATAAATATTACAATCCTTCTACCAAAACTTCTATTTGGATTATATATTTAAGGTTACTGCAGCAAACATTACTTATAGAGAGAGAATATGCACAAGGGAATAGCAAACTCTATGTTACAGCATGGTTCTGGCAATGGATGTCAGTCTTATTAGCAGAAAACACACAGGAAAATACTCTTATTCTCCTAATTCTAAGATAAAGTAATTTTACAAAGATGGATGGCAGGTTTGCATAGAATAAAGATGATCTTAGAAATTAGAACTTGCAAATTACTTTCTCTTTGAACCTAAATCCCTCAGACTAAAATGGCAATGACATCTAATGACAAAAATGTTGCAAAAATTCGAAAACTTATCAGTACAAGAAAGAATAACCATTCTACAGAAAACTAGGATCTGCGAGTATGTGAAACTGGTGACTCCTCTCTATCAATCCTGCATTTTTATACAGTATCATATAACCGAATATAAGTTCCAGAGCTAGAAGCTTTGTGAAGAGACTCATAGCAGAATATTAAAAGGCAGGTTTACTGTCTGGGCACTCAGCCAAGAAGTTGCATTTTCCCAGCCATGGACAGCAGGGAGAGCAGAGCCACGGTTGCAGAGTAATAGGATTACAGCTCAGAGATAACCCATAGTCTTTCATCTTTAAACGACCAATGTGAAGTTTCAGCCTTGATTGTGAGGAGCTGTTTCAGTTTCCTATCACCAGCAAACGTTTCCTTCCCAACTGTGCAGCTCCTCTCCTGTGATGCAGGATGTCGACATCTAAAAATTAAACACTATTTACAACTGCAAAAAGTTAAATACATCCTTCATCCATTGTTCAGCCAACCGGTAACAAAGCCGAAATACAAGACAGAAAATATTTCATCACCTTTCTTCCTGATGCCTGATCTCTTCTGAGATGTTATATAACCGCATCGCATGTTTTGCGGACAGCAAAACAAATCAATACAGAAGTTTTTCCTGACTCATTTTTCTCAACAAACCTGTGGTCATAATCATAGATCAAAGTTGCCAAAAAGTAGAAAAGATGTGCATCTGTATTCAGAAAAACATGTTTTTGCACATAAAAAGCTACACTTCTCTGTAAACCTCAGACTGTCAGATCTAGCTCTATATATGCCTTCTGATGATGCCTGAGTAATCAGTACTGAAAAACTGTCCTTGTACAAAACAAAGGCACGAGCTGTTTCTCAGAGCTACCAGAAAGCAGTGGATCTTACGCTTTCTTAAACATATGAACCAAGGAAAAAAAAATAACTATAATTTCAGATTTTAACAGCCTGATCAAATAAATCTTTAAGAATCAGTGTGATCTACTGGAAAAACTACACTGCTCTTTGTTT